AAGGATATGTCCCTCTTTTAAATACAGAACCGGGAATTTATATAGGAAACGCTTTAGTTACAAATCACAATGGTAAAGCCTACATAAAAGCAGCAAATACGTTATCAATATCAGTTAAAATTGAAATTCCAAAAGTAACCTTACAAGAATATGATGAAATTTCTGATTCAAACCAAACTACAAATAATAGTAAAATTGAAAAAGACATTGAGGAAAAATTGTTAGATAGCTTTATTTATTCAGAAACTCTGAATAATAAATTTGGATTTTATAATCTTACAGGTAAAGAAAGAATTGAGAAAATTTTAGATTCCCTTCGGTTAGATCATTTAAGATCAGAAGAATTAAAACATGTAGAAGCATTAATTGCAGAATATTCCGAAAGATTTCATTTACCAGACGAATATTTAACAGCTACCAATGTTCTCCAACATAACATCCCTACTAAAGACGACGAACCAGTATTTACGCGACAATACAGATTTCCCCCAGTGCATAAAGAAGAACTTTTAAGACAAACAAGTGAACTTTTAAAAAATAAAATAATCAAACCTTCTCAATCCCCATATAACACACCGGTATGGATTGTGCCTAAAAAAAATGACAGTCATGGAAATAAAAAATGGCGAATGGTATTAGACTTTCGCAAATTAAATGAAAAAACAATAACGGACTTCTTTCCATTACCGAATATAAACGAAGTACTCGAGACCCTTGGAAATGCGCAATACTTCTCTGTGTTTGATTTAGCTTCCGGTTTTCATCAAATTAAAATGAGCCCGAAAGATTCTCACAAAACAGCCTTTTCAACCCCATATGGTCACTATGAATTTGACCGTATGCCTTTCGGTTTAAAGAACGCGCCGAGTTGTTTTCAAAGATTAATGAATTGTTGTCTATCCGGTCTTATTGGTACAGATTTATTTGTTTATCTTGATGATGTTGTAATTTTTGCAAATTCTCTTGAAGAACATCAACAAAAATTTGATAATTTCATGTCTCGATTATGTAACGCGAATTTAAAATTACAACCAGATAAATGCGAATTTCTCAGACCCGAAGTAGTTTATCTCGGACACATAATTGATAAAAGTGGAGTCCGACCTGATCCAAAAAAGATAATTGCTGTTAAAAATTTTCCAGTTCCCAAAAACGTGAAAAACATAAAACAATTTTTAGGACTTGCCGGTTATTATCGAAGATTCATTAATAATTTTTCTAAAAAATCTGGACCTTTAACACAACTTTTGAAAAAGGACGTAACTTTTCAATGGACAGAAAAACAACAAGTAGCTTTTGAAATTCTAAAAAACGAACTTTGTGAAGAACCACTCCTACAAAGACCAGACTTTGAAAAACCTTTTATACTCACAACTGATGCATCCGGTTATGCTATTGGCGGTATTCTTTCACAAGGCGAAATTGGCAAAGACAAACCTATTGCTTACGCATCAAGATCTTTAAATGAACATGAAATAAAATATGATACTTATAATAAAGAGGCCCTTGCGATCGTATATTGCGTGTTACATTTTCGACATTTTCTTTATGGTAGGAGATTCAAAATTGTTACCGATCATAAACCATTATTATGGTTTCAAAATTCAAGTGATCCTTGCTCTCGCGTAACTAGATGGAAATTAAAATTGGCAGAATATGATTTTGAAATGATATACAAAGCAGGAAAAATGAATGTCAATGCAGATGCATTGTCTCGCAATCCAGTCACTTATGTGAGAAAATTAGGACTTCGCATTCCAGAAGAAGAAGAAGAAGAAGAAGAAGAAGAAGAAGAAGAAGAAGAAGAAGAAGAAGAAGAAGAAGAAGAAGCAGAAGAAGAAGAAGATGAAGACGATGATGACTACAATGATGATAACAACGACAAAGATAAAGGTAAATATAGTGTCAATAACGAAGAAAGTGATTTATTTTGTGATGAGCAAATCAATTATGATGAAATCGACGCGAAAACTGTGTCCATAAGTGCAAATTCTAATCTCGTTAAAAAAATAACTAATCTCATATTCATGTTTCTTGTCATGTTAATGGGTAAAACAAAAAGTGAAGAAAAATTAAGCTATCCATTTAACACGGTAACAACTAGAGGAAAATTAAGGAAGATGAATCAAGAAAATTTAATCTCTAAAAAATCAAGTGAAAAAATACAAAAATCAAGTGAAAAAGTGCAAAATTCAAGTGAAAAAGTGCGAAATTCAAGTGAAAAAGTGCAAAATTTAAGTGAAAAAGTGCGAAACTCAAGTGAAAGTCTAAAAAATCCTAAATCAAAGAAATCTAATTCTAAATCAAAGGAATCTAATTCTAAATCAAAGAAATCTAATTCTAGTGACAAAATCAATGAAACTAAATCAAAGGGAAGCGAAATCAATGTGCAAAATTCGAGAAACGATAAAAATACAAAATCTATTCAAAACCCGCGAAATCAAAAAATTATTCAAGAATCAATTCGAAATCTCAGAAATCGTGAAAATTTGCAAAAGATAAATTATAATGAAAATTTAGTGATAGATGAAGACGAAAATTTAATCAAAAGGAAAAGAGGTAGGCCTAAAGGTTCAATTTCTAAACAAAAAACGCGTAAAATTAGTGAAGATATCGAGTGCGAAAGTGAAGATTCGGAGGAAAATTCAGATCCAGAATATATTAAACAAAATCAATTTTATCAACCTTTTAGTGCGGAAGAATATGTAAGTTCAAGTGATGATAGTGTTGAAGATTTTCCTCATGAAGAAATTATTGAAGATAATGCGAAATCAAAAAGAAAAGAAAATATAGAAGAAGAATACGATAGTGATTCCGACGATTTAGAGGAAATATATTTTCCTAACGAAATTTCAAATTCTAAACAAACTCAAAGAAAAATCAATGATGAGCATGAATGTCAACGCCCTCCTGCTGAGCCCCCTCCTGAGTTCCCCCTCGACCCTTTTCTAAACGAACAAAACGTGGGTGAATTAGGAAAATCATTTCATGGACCCTTATGTACTAATATAGTGGAATGTAAAGACCAGTTAAGAATGCGGAAAGATAATTATGCGTACTTTTTATCTACAACAGGTGTCCCTTTAGATAATGGTTCTCGAAGTCTAAATAAACAAAATGAACTTCCTCAATTCAAAAATTTGTTAATTAATGAAGCTAAAGAAATTAAAAAAGGAAATTTTTTACACATTGCTTTACCAATTACTAAAGAATCAAGTGAAAGTCTTACTCAAATAACAAATAACATCAAATTAACAATTGAATCATTTAAAAATTTAACAGAAAAATTAAAATTAAAATCAGTTAGTATTGCAAAAACAACAGTCATTAATCACGTAAATTGGCAAGATATCGAATTAATTCTTAAAGAAACTTTCCAAGATTCTTGTACTAAAGTTATAATTTGTAAAGGTTATGTTCAATATGCAACAACTGAACAAAGACAAATTTTAATTGAAGAAGCACATTCCTCTGCTATAGGCGGTCACAAGGGAGTTACGAAAACTTATAACAGAATTCGGCAAAAATATTTTTGGGAAAATATGAAATTAGACATTCAAAAATATATTCAAGCATGTTTACAATGTCAGTTGAAAAAGTTAGTTCGAGTAAAAACCAAAAACCCAATGGTTATTACTGATACACCAGGAACCGCGTTCGAAAAAATTTCTATGGATATAGTAGGACCTTTGCCAGCAACAGAATCGGGAAATGAATGCATTTTAACTATACAAGACTGTTTAACAAAATATTCTATTGCTGTCCCCTTACCAAATCAACAAGCCAGTACAATAGCTGATGCTTTTGTAAAGAAATTCATTTGTACTTTTGGCTCTCCAAAAGGCGTTTTAACAGATCAAGGTACAAATTTTTTGAGCAATCTTATGAAGCGATTAGCAAAACGATTTCGTATTCGACAATTTAAAACTACTTCTTTTCACCCTCAATCAAATGGTTCATTAGAAAGATCGCATCATGTATTAGCAGAATATCTTAAACAATTCATCAATAAAAATACTCAATGGGATGATTTATTAGAATTAGCTATGTTTTCTTATAATACAAGCGTCCATGAAGGTACTAAATGTACACCCTATGAGTTAGTTTTCGGTAGATTACCAAGATTACCTTCAAGTTTACCACTTTTAGAAGAAGAAAAACTCGAGACCTATGATGACTATTTAGTAAAATTAGTTACAAAACTACATGATATTCAATCCCTCGCACAGAAAAATCTAATCGAATCTAAAGAAAAATCAAAAACTTACTATGATCGCAAAGCTAACCCTCAAAATTTTAAAATCGGAGATAGCGTATTTTTATTACAAGGTCCAAAACCGAAAAAGTTAGGTAATCAATATACAGGACCACATGAAGTGTTAGAAATATTAAGTAAAGGAAACATAAAAATCAAAATTAATAAAACGCCTAAAATAGTACATATTAATAGGCTTCGTTTATCACATATTAGTCATAATAATTAAAATTAATAAACGGAAGTTCTTTCTTTTATTTTCAAAAAAAAAAAAAATATATATATATATATATTTTGTTTCAGAAACCGGGAAGAAGAAATTATTTTAAAATGGTCAGAAGAATTAGTGGTGTTTATGATTTAGTTAATTTTGCGAATCTACCTTCAGAATTTTATATAACCTCACCGTTCTTGTTGTATGAAACAGAGATGTTTGAATTTAAATATTATATGAAACACAGTTTCATAAATAAGGCTATCTTAATTGAAAATTGCGATATTTATCTTGTAACAGAAGGTCATAGTATAAATGAGGAATATTTTGAATCAGAAGGAGTAGTCCTTCTTTCACTTAATAACGTAGAAATACCATTTTTTGTAATAAGCGAAGAAGATTCTGAGATTATAAATATGAAAACGGGTATATTAGGATTTCGTCAAGCCCGTGAAACAAATCTATTCAATTAAATAAAATTTTCTTTCAGAAATAAAATGGGTATCCCTTTTGACGACTTGTCAAGATTTATGTACGCACCTTCTGAAATGAAGATGGTTTCAGTAGATTTTAAGAAAGATGAAATATTTAAAATAAGATTTGATATTAGGCATAGTTACATTAATGAAAAAATCCTTCAGACAATGGATTATATTAAACTTGATGATCATGATACCTTTGAAGGTATTCCAATCTTAACTAACGGCATCAAATATATAATGATTTACAACAAGTTTTGGCCATTCATCGTTGTGGATGAATATTATTCTCAAATAATAAACTTAGAATCTGGGATAATTGGATGTCGTGAAGCAATGGAAATCTTTAATTAATATTTAACATAAGTAGGAATTAATTATTTATAAGTAGAAATAATAATTATTTTTTTTTTAAATACACATAAATACAGACAAAATCATCTTTTGTTTTTAGGAATTATGGAGGTTTTAATGACATTCACATTATTGTCGTTCATCTTCTTTGCAGCCAATTGCGAAGATTTAGTATACAATAAACCGTTTTTAATAAAAAATGGACTTTACCATGAAAAAGTGAACAACATATACTCTTTTCAGAAAAACAACCTTTTTATCTCACATTTTAATTTTAATGATATTACAGAAATACAGAATAATCTTATTAAAATTTATGACATAACAATACCATTTTGCGAAATAGTTACAAACAACACATGCGAATCTAAGGAAATCTTAGAATTAAAAACTTTAATAAACAATACAACAAAAGAAATAAATAAGTTGCTGGAAAAAGCAGAAACACCATCCATATTAAACAACGAAGTAATTACTAAAATATTTTCTGTATTTTTCAAAGCAAATCTTACTCAGAATCAAATATTTCAGGATAAAGATCATTGTATATATATTTTTCCAAATATAATGTCAGAACCATTAACAGAAATTATGAATTATTCTAATAAAGCAATTGAGAAATTAAGTTGGAAAGTTAATGAAGAGAATCTATTTGAGCAAAACTTTACTGACAATTTAATCGATTTAGAAACCAATTTTGTGAAATATAATAATATCTTACAAGAAATATTGTATTATTTTCAGAATGATTCAATCTCTGCGGACGTTCTGAAAGAAAATTTCCTCAATGAAAACTTAATTAACCTTATCAATTCAACTAATTTAGCAGATATTTCATCAGTAATTTCAATAAAATTCCTCAAATTAAAAAATTATATACTTTTAATAGCAGACATGCCTTTGATTCTGAGTCATGCATTTACACTATACAAAGTTTATCCATCACCAACTTATGCTACATTACTTACGAATTTTACAATAACCATGTATATCCAACAAAAACATAATTATATAGGATTATCTTCGGATAATAAAACATATTTTACAGGTGATGAAAATTCTTTGAATAAGTGTTATTTAACTAACTCCAAATCTATACTATGTTCGCATTTTCCAAAAATAAGAGATGTTATTCTAGAACCAATTTGTGAAGTTTCAATGTTATTAAATATTACGAATAAACAATGCAATTATTTCATTAGTGTAAAGGAATTTCCAATATGGTTATCATTAGAAAATCATGTAGGATGGTTATATGCTATTCCAACTACAATAAAAATATCCATGTTATGCCCGAATAATCAGAAAATTGAAACATATATAGCAGGCACGGGAATTTTACAAATGAACCCTAAATGCCAAATTTTAAATAACACATTACCAGATTTATCATATGCTATTATTAACAAAGAAATTGATACTTATATCTCAACTCCAAGTTTTGAACCGTATGTAGAAAATTTATTATACCCATTACTTACTAAAATCAAAAATAAAACCATAAGCTGGGATTTAATATTGGAAACATCAAATTTAGATTTAAATCTGTCATTGCATTCTTTTGAAGATCTTTTAGGAGATCAACCTTTATATAAAGAATCGTATAATTCTAATCAGAAATTACTTATATTAACATTAAGTTTAATTTCATTAGCAGGACTCTTAATGATATGTGTAACATATTTTATGTTCTTTAAGGCACATGGTACATACAGTATACTCAGGGATAATGCTCAATATTCAGTATCTTATAGGGAATTTTCTATCGATCCTATCGAGTCACCACGACATTATGTCAGCATTAGACCTAATTTACCAGTAATTTTAGAAGAAGCAATTTAAAAATATTAACACTTTAATACTAATTATAATAATAAATACTAATATTTAATAAGAATATAATAAGATTAAAAATTTAAGATTAATTTTAACACTTATGTATCGACTTTAAAAATTATAAATAAATAATATAAATAAAATAAAAATAATAATATAAAGTACAATTATTAACAAACTAACCCTCCTGTTACAGGAAATGGGATCAAAACTTCTATTTATTTTAATTTTATATTTATCTTCAAATTTTTCTATAACTAATGCGATTCTTGGATTTGACTGCGTATCCAGTCGACTAAATATTACAACAATTTCGTTACTCGAAGTAGGGGATTGCGAAGATAAAAACACCACTATTAAAACCTCAAAATCATTTATTCAATTAATTCAATTCAGTGGACGTACCTCAACTAAGGTAATACAATGCCAAATAAAAATCAAACGTTCTATTTTTAACTGTGGAATGCACTCACATAGTTCGGTAGTTTCGCAAGGCTATGCAGAATATATAGACGAAATATCAATGGATATCTGTAAATCGCTTCATTTGCATAAAACATATAAAGCACCGCAACAAATAATACAAAATTTAAAAATAAATCAGACCAATACCTTTAGTGTTACATTTGCCGGAACAATTAAAAATGATGGTACTTGCAATGGCATTCAATATTCAGACCCTTTTGGAACATGGGATAATGTAATTGTACCAGGGACTTTAGAAATCAAACTCTCGGAACATCAAGCAATTGTTGATTTAGATAATAATAAAATCATATTGAACTCAGGTGTAGTTTGTTCCCTTTCAGAGACAACTTGTTTAGACGAAGGTAATGGTTATTCATTTTGGGATGCATTACCAAGAGATATTTGTAATTTTAATAAATACGAAGTACTTTTTGAAGGACAAGTTAATAAAATAATAGACACTGATAATCAAGAAATTTTATTTTCTTTAGTTTCACAAGAAACAACCTTTGTCTTTACACAAACAGGTCAACTATCACTCTGTAACTATATAATTTTTAAAACAGAACATCCAAAAATTTTCGTTTTTGAAACACAACCCAATTATGTATTTTTAAAGAAAGAAAACTTAAAAATAGAAAATTTAGATATATTTACTTATGTTAACTCAAAATTCATCTACGTTGAAAGACACATTAGAACAGAAATGAATAGTCTTTACAGAGATGTTTTGCATCAACGTTGTACATTAGAACAAGAAGTATTTAAAAATTCATTAATATTGGCTACCCAAGCACCTGACGAATTCGCTTACCATCTTATGAAAGGTCCAGGATACATGTCAGTAATAGCAGGCGAAGTAGTTCACATTATAAAATGTGTACCAGTAGACGTTATGTATAGGAAAATAGATGAATGTTATTTACAACTACCAGTTAGCAAAGGAAATACTTCTCTCTTTCTCAGCCCTCGAACCCACATTTTAACAAACGCAGGTACACAAGTAGATTGTAGTGCTCTTATACCCTCAATGTATAAAATAGGAGAATCTTGGTTTAAAATATCACCTCATCCTGTAGAATCCATTCCCCCTCAAGTTATGCAACCTTTAAAAAATGCTACTTGGAAATATACAAACCCTTCTTCACTAGCAATAAATGGTATTTACTCCCAAGCAGACTTAGATAAATTAAGAGATCATATAATGTATCCTGCTGAGAAACCAATGGTATTGAATTCTATTGTAAGAGGCATAACTGGTAATTCGATATCCCATAGTGGTATGTCGTTAATTAATTTAATGGATGAAAAAACTTTAGATAAAATAGCATCATCCGCATGGGGAAGATTTTGGACTGCTTTTATGAGTTTTGGAACAATGAGTGCAGGATTAATTGGACTAGTAATTATTATTCGTGGTATTAAATTAATTGCTGATACAATAATTCATGGTTATACTCTTCACAGTGTGTTTGGCTGGTCGTTGCATTTGCTTGGCGCTTTATGGGACTCAGTAACAAATCTATTATTACATCTTGAACAGAAGAATACAAGAGCTAAACAGGACACAAACCCAACCGCCCCTACCTGCGATAATGACCCTATACACACAAAGACTTTAGCTAACACAATACAAGATCCTAATAATCCTCAAGCAAAAGATTTATATCCTAATTTAGTGCATGTCTAAAAATAAATAATGAATGGAATATGTTATTTAACCGAAATATATAAATTTATTGAAAAAAAACATTTAGCACCTCCTAAATTCAAAATTTGTCTTGATAACGATAAAAATATTTCTGCTTACACAATAGAGCATGAAGATATTGAAATAACTATTTATAATAAGCAGGAAACTTTAATAGAGCAAATATTATATAAGAAATTGTTGTTTATTTTAAAAAATAGATATAATCCATTATCATCAACATTTGAAGAATGCAATAAATTAACGAATCTGTGTACAAAATATAAATTAGGAAAACCTATATATAAATTTTACTCACAAATAAAAAAAGAATGCTCTATTTCAGTTTATGTACATGATAATGTAGAAACTATCTTTGTACATGATTTCTCTATTGGCCAAACTCTTGTCGCCAATAAAATGATAAAAAAAATATTATCTATTTTTCAAATTAAAAACAAAAAATCAAAAGGAAAAAGAATTCTTAAAAATTCTAAAAGACGAAAGAACTCAATAATTTTCTCTACTCCTGAAAGCCAAACTGCTCACAAATTATCACCTAAAATCCTAATTTCCAACATCATTAATGATCCAAACTTCCAAAATGTTGATTTCTCCAAAACTTCTCCAAATTCTAAAACCCGTCAAAATAATAAAGAAAAGATTGAAAATCTGGTCATTTGTAAAAATTGTACTACTTGTGGTTATCATATAAAAAGAATATAAATAAAAATAATATAATAAATTAATGACTAAATTTTTGTTCCAGGAGCAACAACTCAGTTTAAGTTTTTATATTTTCCCTATTTTTAATCCAATAATTAACTTTAATAATTTATTTTCTTCATAAAAGATGACACTTTAATACCAATTAAAGAACTAAAAGCAATCACGTTTTTTTTATCAATAAATTTAAAATTTTCTTTTTTTCAAAAAGTTACTGTCAGATTAAAACGTAAATATCTCGCAAACTATAAGTTTAATTGAAAAAAGTCATCAATACTTTTTTGTAGAGAATTTAATTAGCTTTAATATGAGTACAAAAAAAATAAAATCGGGTGAGTACTTACCGAGATATTCGCGAATTAGTGCAGCACAAATTTTTTTTTCTGATTTATTTTAAAATTTTTTTCGATTTGAAGAAGAAAATTTTTTTTCGAATACTAAAAAAAAAAAAAAAAAAAAAGGTCATCGATTTCAAAAATTCTCAAATTTCGCATACAAAATTTTTTTTTATTGCTGGAACCTTGCATACATATTACGCACTCTGCATTTGATATTTCAAGAAGAAAAAAATATATATATAAAATTAAAGCTAGCAACATACTAAAGTAGAATAAAATATTTATTTATAATTTAATAAAATTTAAGTAAAATAAAATATTTATTCATAATTTAATAAAATTTAAGTAAAATAAAATATTTATTTATAAATCTTTAGAAATATTTAAGTAGAATAAAATATTTATTTATAATTTAATAAAATTTAAGTAAAATAAAATATTTATTCATAATTTAATAAAATTTAAGTAAAATAAAATATTTATTCATAATTTAATAAAATTTAAGTAAAATAAAAATTTATTTATAAATTTTTAGAAATATTTAAGTAGAATAAAATATTTATTCATAATTTAATAAAATTTAAGTAAAATAAAATGTTTATTTATAAATTTTTAGAAATATTTAAGTAGAATAAAATATTTATTCATAATTTAATAAAACTTAAGTAAAATAAAATATTTATTTAATAAAATATTTATTTAAGTAGAATAAAATATTTATTCATAAATTAATAAAATATAAGTAAAATAAAATATTTATTCAAGTAGAATAAAATATTTATTCATAAATTAATAAAATATAAGTAAAATAAAATATTTATTAATGAATTAATAAACTTTTAGAAATATTTAAGTGAAATAAAATAATTTATAGAATTAAAAAAAAAAATACATAATAAATAAAAACAAAACATTTTCCTATAAATTTTTTTATTATTATTTTAAAATATTATTTATTTACATCATATTTAAACAAACACAAAAAACCTTAATCCTAAAATATTATTTATTCACACACACACAAACATTAAAAATACAAATATATTTAAACTAAATCTAAAATTACATTTCCCTTTTGATAATACTGATGGCCCATGAACCATCGTAGGCCACGATGAGTCTTTGACATCTCCTTCACAAGCTCTAATTTTAGAAATTCCGGATAACCATGCCATTGATAGGGAAGAGTGTAGGTGACTTCATTATATACAAATTTTGGAAATGTTTTTTCAAATAATTTTCCACCTAACTCAATGACTGATTTTGCAGGAATCTGTAACAATTGTTAATTATTAATAATAATTAATATAATAACAATTATTAATAAAATTAATAATAACTATAGAAATACTCACATTTACTAGCCGATTATTTCTTATCGAATAATAGGCTCCTCTGACACAATAGATTCCTACTGGCCCCTGCCGATTGTATTCGGCCGCTAACTCCTTCCTTTTTTCGATTGACCTCAAATGAATGGGTAATTTCACCTTCATAATACCAAATTCAATTAGTTCATCTTTCTGTTCCACACACTCTTCTTCTTTCCCCACATTTTCATCCTTTTTTCTTTTCTCCGGCAATTCCTCTTCCTCGTTTTTTCTTTCTTTCCCCACATTTTCATCCTTTTTTCTTTTCTCCGGCAATTCCTCTTCCTCGTTTTTTCTTTCTTTCCCCACATTTTCATCCTTTTTTCTTTTCTCCGGCAATTCCTCTTCCTCGTTTTTTCTTTTTTTCCCCACAATCACTGTTTCTTCTTCTACACTTTCCACAGTATTTTTTGA